CTTACCATAATCGAGAAAATTTAAAAATATATACATAATATCACCGAAATATTTCAAAACGAAATGAATATACTTACAAACAGCAAGTGTTTCAGTGTTTGCACTTGGTTAAAACGATTATATTGGATTATACTACAGCACAAAATATAAAGAAAAAATTAAATATATCGTATTATTTTATCCGATTAATATTATCTACCAACAACACATTCTATTGTTACCTTATAAAATATAATATTGCGAGGTAAATACATTACGGTGTCATCCGGTACGTTAGTATAAAATGCATAGTTTCAGAGAATTTATATTGATACAGAAATTATCATAATTATTAGAGAAGAGGTAATTAATTATCTCCTTGTCTAACCACCTGGACCACATGAATTGGGCCTAATATTGGGAATTTGGGACCATTTAAAAGGTGATCATACAAAGTTTATGTATAGGCAGCACTTTCACATCACATAGGCACATAGCATCAGTTTTCATTTCAAAATAATTATCGGTGTAACTGGGGTCTTTAGCGCCCGCTCCCCATAGACGTTTTTTCCCCTTAAATGTTTTTAATGTTTTTACTGTTTAGCCCATCCTGGTTAAAATCCAAATCATTGCATAAAAAACTGTAATGGATTCAATGTGTAATTAAATAATCATACATATTGTAGGTACCTATATGTAATATATTATTAGTATTATACACAGGGACAGCCTGGTCTACCGGTCTACCGGGAAGTTTCTATTGGCCTAGTTGATGCAATAAATTATTATTACTTTTTAAATTTAGTATTAATTAATATTTATTTATAATGTGTATATAATATAATATATATTAATTAATTATTTCTTTATACTAAAAACAATATACTTATTAGTATTTGTAAACAGTACTACAAGAGGAAAATTCTTATTTTATAAGCTACATTATAGAACCTATAGTTGTTTTGGAGTTACCCGTAACCGGTGAGCACTAGTTGGTGATTCAGTATTTGACCAAACGCGCTTAATACAATAAGCTAGGTAGTTATTACTAATAACTAATAAGTAATAACTATAATTGCCCATTTCAGATTGGTATATTTTGTGACCGCATTATTATTATTACGTAATATTTCGTATAATATGTAATAGTTAATAATCTATAATAATATGTTTATAATGGTATGTTTTTTTTTTATAATTTCCCGTATCCAAAGTAGGTGCAGTCCCAATTAGTATTTAGTTCGGATAATCTAGATTCTACTGAAGTCATAAATTCATAAAATATAAAAAAATAGGTAATATTGATAGTCAAAACACAAAACATTTAATCTATTCTGTGGTCAATATTCAATAATTGTTAATTTTGTGTGACATTAATTTAATGTTGGTATTTATATTGTTATTTCTGATCGTCTGTGGTAACAGAAAAACGAGAGATTTTATATAATAATAGTATTATTAATTGTAATACACTTTTTATTATACCCAGTGGTCGAAGTGGGGGGGGATACGGAGGGATGACATCCCTCTACTTTTTTGTATTTACATTTTTCATCCCTCTACTTATTTTGTCTAGAATAACGCATTCCTCCTAAGAATTGTGTTTTAAAATGAAATAATTATTATGATTTTTATATTTATACCTATGTATAAGAAAACTTTTTATTTTTCGTATAGGCCGTTTCGCAATCATATTATCTATACCCGTATTTAGAGCCACGGATTAAGAATTTACATATACCTTAGTCGTGTTTAGAGCTAATAACATAATATTTTAATATCACAAAACAATAACAATATTGATGATAATAAGTCCACAGAAAAATATTATAAATAAAATATTTTATCAGTTTTTTTTGAAAAATTTGAAAATATGTTATTTATTTGTTTAGTTTTAAAGATTATTTATGATCAAAAAAGATTGTAGTATTCTGATGCATAAACAAAATGTGAACTATAAAAAAAAAAATACTATACAAGATATGAAGAATGTTATGATGATATCAGGAAATCTGAATTGTAAGGCATCCCTCCACTTATCTTAAGCCATTTCGACCACTGATTATACCGTATTTCTGCGTACACTGTTCTAGACAAATTAATCTATGTACAAAATATAGGTATATAATATGCATTTAATACTAGATACATATAATATTTTGTATATCCCTTGAAACTACCCATGTATACTGCCTATAGGCGACGACTACTACAACAGCCCATTGAAAAACTTAGAATTGTTTTTAGAATTATTAAAATACAACAATTATTTGATAATTATTTCAACTGGAAACGAAAACTCAACCTTTTCATTACATACTTATAGAATGTATTGGGTCCCGAATTAAAAGCCGGAGGGAGGGCTTAGATAATTTACAAATGATATTGGTCTAGTATCATAAATAGTTTTAAAAATGATCTACGTAATGGAGTACCTAATATATAAAAGTGTAATGAATACTACATATTATAGTAGGTAGTAAATAAATCTTTAAGGATTATTATCCTTAATATAAAACATTTTAAAAACTCAGAACTACTCTATCTACAAATTTTGAAATTTTTAGATATATAAAAGTTTCAGGATAATCAACCGGAAAATAATTGAGTAAAATTAGGGGTTATCATTAAGAATATAGTTTGTATCACCACTGTAGTTATACAGGATACTCCATAAGTAGTACAAAAAATTTCAGGATTTTAAAAATATATTCTTTAGCTAGGTATACTTAAAAATTCTAAAATTCAGAATATATGTATATATTATTAAGGGACAAAAGGGTGAGCATGTTTGAAAAATCAGTCTGTATATATTACGATTCGTACCTACCTATTATATGTGAAATACTGTTCAAGGTCTAGCTTGTAATAATATTATAAGCATATTATATTCTAATATATAAATAATTATAGAATATTATAATTGAGTAAAAAAACGCTCTAGAGGTATCGCCCTAGGACCAAGTTTTTAATAAAATATAATCTATAATCTATTTATGACCATACCCTCGTAAAGAGTAGGGGAATGTCAATTGCCAATGTGTGCAATGTGAGTTGGCCAAATCGGGAGACTATAGCCTTGAACGCGGCAGTAGTAAACATTTGGGCCACTCAGGTTAACAAACGTAAAATCTCAGTTTGGTGCAAGGCCATGTTTTTCGGTGGATCAGACTGAAAGATCACAGGTAAACAAGAACCCGATCAGCAGATCGAATGTCGTTTTTGTATAATATTTTGTTCTGTGATAGTAATGAGCTGGATGGTTTTTCACAAATTCGTTAGATTAAATCGGTGAAAATGAATAGTTAACGATTACTACAAAAAATTAACCGGTGGTAAGATATTTCCACCAGATATTCATTTGATAATAGCTAACCCCCTTCTACAACAAAATAATTATCTTTTAACCTCACCTTGCGTCTTTCGCTACGACAGATAGTAATTACTAATTAATATCTATATATAGGGTGGTAATAAAGTGAAAATAAGATGAAACCGCTCCTGTATCTTTTAATAGTGCGATATTGGAGTAAAAAATCGATTTGGTAGTTCAGAATTTATTACGAGAGTACCATTCGCTCGAAGGCTGACTTATATTCAAGTTGTAATAGACATTTACATTTACATTTTATTTAAGTGTATTAATTGTCGTTCAAATATCAATAATCTTCATGCTAACATAATATAATATATATTATATTTTATGTTATATTGTATAGATTCTTAAAATAAACCAATGTTTTGGAATCGTGAATCAATTATTATGTAAAAAAAATTATTTTGTATGTAGGTAGCTATTATAGCCATATACAAATTTATTGATTTAAATAAAATGTAAATTTATTCTATGATATTTATACGTTCATTTATTTAAGGGCCGTTCTTACAATGTCCGGTAATATGTCGGTTAACTTTAACTGGACATTGTATGAACGTTCCATATATATATATATATTATGTACAAAAATGGAATAATACCTATTCGTAATACCTACATACAATAGGTACCTACCTATATAAGGTACGAGTTTAAACTGTTAATAAAAGCTCAAATAAACTACTACCTACTAACCTAGGTACCCAAATGAAAAATCATAATTATAATTATATACCTACTTATATTATTTACTAACAAAAAAAATTAAATATTAAGCACAAATGCACAATGTAGAGAAGATTTATCTACATTAGAAATAGAGCATACTGTTATCAGTTAAAATAATAATTATATATCTACCTAGTATATAATTTATATAATAATCATTATTATAATTAATAATTATAATAATTAGTCAAGCATCAAATTATCAATGGTCCATGGCCACAATCACTCGATTTTAACAACTCCCACAATGTCTATCTCTGGGGAAGCAGATTAACAAAACGCGCTCTGGTGGAAACAATTTGTACCTTCCAATTCGGGATGTATAGATATAGTTTTATATTGGTTATTTTACTTTTTATAATAAATTAATTTTGTTATCGAAACTTTATACGCTTTTATAGCTAACTGTATATGTTGGTAAATATAATTTCTACTAATATTATCAAATACGTTCAAATTCACTTCACTTAAAGCAAAATGTATTCGAAATGCCGCGAAAATACATACGATCTCCCGACTCGAGTCCCGACTCCACATAGGGGGGAACCTGCCCAACCATCAGTACGATAGCCGTCGACAGCGCTCCCAGTGTTAATCTGTTTTCCCAAATTAATCTGTTGGTACAAGAGGTGTCACCTTATCTTCCCTACATCGAGTACATCGTATTATCGTACTTTATTTTTTCATGCTGCTATCAGATTAGTTGCCGCCGTGATCTGTAACAGTTGTCGTATTGTCGTTGCATAAGTCTAATGCATGTAACCACAAAATATACACTAAATAAAATAAACATTTAAATATAAGCATCTTCTCGATGATTGACGATTTTTTGTTGATTTTGTGGGCCGTAGTTTCAATTAATGTTGTTATCTGTTTCTTACTTTATTTAATTTGTTACGAAGAGTAATTGAGTATGATGAATTCAAGAGCCCATAAGGAATTCGAATGGAACGATGAAACCAGTTTCATAAACATAATCTCTGCGCTGTTCAACAATTGGCCAGAAATGAAAGTGAGTGAACCTTTGTTACAGGTTATTGTTTCACTAGGTAGCTACTGTTATTTTTATAATATATATATATTTTTTTTTAAGTTGGTTGTTGATCGTACCTCAGGATATTCGCGCGAAAATGTGTATATTGATATAAGGAAATTCATACAGAATGTATTCGATTGTATTTTGATATATGGTTTGTAAATCTATTCATTTGCTTATTAATTATTAATACTTAATAGTTCTAAATGTTATAATATTATTCCTATCTAATATTATATTTCATTTCATTAATTTAAAAATTAAGATATTAATTCAATGTTTGGGGGTGGGGGGCTAATAATTTGTTATATAGAAGAAGCTGGACTAGGAACCATCATAATTCATATATTTAGTTTACCGGTACTGATGCTGTAAATATACAATGTGTCCCGCGAGGAAGTGACCACCCGGTGTCATATGATCCTTAAGTTATTGAAAAAAAACGACTTAAAAAGAGGGAGTCTAACTTTTTATTTTTTTTAAACAATACTTAACTTACCGCACATCAGCTGACTTTTAAACTTTTTATCGTATTTTTTTTTATTTAAAGTTATTTGTATTGTGATCTCAACTAACATACACAATCAAACCAGAAATGTACAAATTATTTTTATTGAATTAAATTAGCATTTTTAAAAGGAAATTGTGTATAACTCCAAATATAGCTGTATTTACCTCAGTTTTTATTTTTATTTTATTATTCTACAAAATTTTACTTTTTTAAATTTAGTAAAAATAATTTATTCTTAGTTTGATTATATATGTTAGTTGATAACACAGCCATAAATCTTTAAAATTAAAAAAAATACAGTAGAAAAGTTGAAAAGTTTTGAAGATACGTCAACAAATGTGCGGTAAGTTTGGTTTTGTTTAAAACAAATTAGAATAAAAAAATAAAAAGTTAGAACTACCTTTTAACGGGTTCTTTTTAAACTTAAGTTATACTATTGCATAACATTAGCAATTCTTCACAGGACAGGTTGTATAACATTTAAGACTCAAGTTGCAATTTTTATATAAACTAACATTTTAACATATGTTTATATCTTGCATCATAAGTTTTCAGAATAAGCATTTTAAATTTTCCTAAAACTTCAGGAAAGGCTTCACCCTCTTATCCCTTGGCTACTTCACTGTATTTATATTCATTTCTAATTTGTACATAATCATATTATTATGATTATTTTTGGTTAGGTATTTCTCATCTAATAAATAAAATGTAATTTCTAAGGATTTCTGACGTAACAATTATTCAGTCTTACCACTCTAGCCATTAAATGAATTAAGTAAATTCTTTAGAATAATATAAATTATTATTAGTGTACTATTAATTAAATTATAATTAATATTGATTTATTATAATTTAGGGACGGGTCGTAGTGATTCAATTACTGGTAATATCAAAAAAAGTCTGCTCGATGACTTTCATATGGTAATTGAAGATTTCGCTGCCAAAGAGATGAGTACTCGTATTTGTAATATGTACGATAAATGGATGAAACAGGATAATTTGACTGAAAACCGCAAACAAATTATAGAAGAGATCAAGAATTTACCAAAACCAAATCCTATTGTGGAATTTGAGGTAGTTTTCTTTGCACATTTGTACAAAGTTTTTGTTTGTTGTTTGAAAAATATTTTTATCAGTAATTAACAATTTATTAAAATAAGAGTAGTTACCAATATCTTTATAATTTTTAAATAAATAGTAAATTTTCAATAATTTACCTCATAGAAGCAAGTATCCACTAAAACACCCATTACCCTAATAGACCAATACTGTGAATGCACCTAAAATATTTCTTAATTGTTATCATATTACATCGTATCCGGTTCAGTATTGTCCAAATTGTTCGAGGTAAAGCAAAAACAGACAGTTTAATGTTCGGGGCAATAATTAGGGAACTGTTTTTAACTTTTATTCGTTCCATATTGGGTGCCTCTACTGTACACTAGAGCTTTTGAGGAAGTTCTTATAACATTTTAATTGCTTATTCCTAGCTTGATTGTATGTTAAAATATACATTTACAACAAGTATGATTATTACGAGTTATCGGCTATAAAGAATAATATATCAAATTATAAAATAAATTTTTGGTTATTGAGCAGTCGTTTTCTTTTTTCTATTATATACTTATATTGGGTCAACCTGTTAGTTATATTTTATTTATTTATTGATATATACATTTTATCTTTAATTTTAAGACACAACATAAATATTGGTATATAATCTCAGGTGAGTCATCAGCAGTTAACACTGAGTTGTGTTCTGTTTAGCTCACTAACTCTTGGCCATCTGGTTACAACGAACGCTCTTTATAATATGCATAGTGATACATTAGCTACAATGAGAAAAATAAGCTGGCCCTTAAAACTAGTTATTATCGATTTCTACTGTATATATTTTGTAAATGAGAATTCTACCTTGTTTAACTCTCCAGATAACGGGGACCATAATCGTTTGCAATATTAGTGTTCACCTTTAATTGGGTTTACTTGCCTCCCGGTTATTTGGATGGAAAGTTTAAATATACTTAAACCTAATTATAAATATTTGTATTAATTTTTGTTTATTATTTTCAGGATCTACCAAGATACAAATTAGTTTTTGAAACCGATGAGATTATGTGTTAAAAGTAAATTTTACATAAATAAAAGCTTACTATTATTAATGATTTATTTTATTTTTAAACTCATCTTACTTTATACAATGTAATGGAGCTCATTTTATTATAATTGTATTATTATTTACAATATAAAAATATAAAAGTCTATTTTGATGATATTTAATTTCAAAGTCTCAAATTTATATTACAAAAAAGAAAGGTTGGTAACTGCTCTGCTGTACAGTAGGTGTCAAGTAGGTCACTGTAATGGATGTGTTAAATTTGAATTCAATGCTAAATCATTGCACACCAAAATTGAGTAAAACTAAGTAAAGACTTCTCAGGTCGATCAGCCTATATTATTAAGTATATTTTATGATATTATTTTCAATTAAAGTAATTCATTTTAGTATTAATATAGTCGGCTGAGTTGATTTTTGCCTAAGAAATTGTATTTAAAAATGTAATTGTATTTCAAACATAATAATATACAGTAGAACTTCCATATAACGGTTACGGAAGGGACTGTCAATAATGACCGCTATTTAGAGGTGCCCGTCCTACAGAGGTAAGATAACACTTGACGGGACCAAAAAAATTTACCGTTACATAGAGGTGACCGTCCTATAGAGATGACTATTAACGGAAGTTTTACTGTACTTGCAAACTTTTAAGTTCACACAAATAATATTTTTAAATTACAACAAAATAATTATTCATTGTTTAAATTTCAAATGTAGAAAAATGCGTACTTAAAATGTTTTTATAATTTCTTAGGTTATTGGGTTACATTGTAAACTAGTTTTGAGAAACATTGTTTTGAATTTTCGATCCTTTAGCTTTAAAAATTAAATATTCTAAAAATATTTAACTCAAAATGATTTGCTTGCAAATTGTTGTGATTTTGTCATAATTTGATCAATTTTGTCTATAAAAATTGTGATTTTATCTCTTTAATACTTTTAAATTGCTACCTATATTAACAACTTATTATAAACCTTGTAATAAAATAAATTCAAGCTTTTTGACACAATGAAATATTTTTCATTGACATTTATAGAAAAATAAAATAAGTCAAACCATTTGTATGTATAGAAAATTATAAAATACACATTTGGTGAAAATGTCAAGTATCTTATATCTGTGGTTATTCATTTTTTAACTATGTAAAACAAAATAAAGGAATCATTCGATAAGAAACCATTAGTTTAATGGTGAATATCTTATCATAAAAAACTTGAACACACTTAAAAAATAATTTTACTTTCCGGTGATATAGTTTTTTTTTTTTCGGTTTAGGTAGAAAAACTTAACAGTATTAATCTTAGTTATAAAATGAAAATTGTTTACTATTTTCTTAAAAATTTTAACTTTAAACGTTTATAAAAAAACATTGGACCACCTATAATATGATAAATCTTATAATATTTTCAATACGTAAATTATCAACCTATGGGGTACCGTGTATCATAGGCTGTGCGGACTATAATGTACTGTGCCGGTATTTTTAAATATACCTAGCTCAATATAAAAATAAAAAAACTATTATTATAATCATAATTAATTTGTTACTTTAAATATTTTTCTTCACAGATATTTTTTTTACAATGTCATACATTTAGATTCTTTATTAGGTGGCTAAGGTAATGGTAGTTGACATTAATACATCTTATGTATGGGAGTTGAATAAAATGTGTAATGAAAATCAAAACTGAAATGTTTTTTGGTGCTCTTCTCGTAGTGGTATAAACATTAAATTTAAACCATAAATAATATTATTATTATTATTAGAATAAGCAAAGTAATTTTGACCAGTTAGGTTGCCTTCAAAAAATATCAGACCTATTAGATGGTCCCCTAAAATACCATCCCTGCAGACATTTATATTTTGTGACCATTGACTGTGTCCTTGTCTCATGACATGGGGATTAGATTCGGATCAATAACAACAGTTTTAGTATAATAGGTAACTGTTATCAATTAATTATGATTATAATAATAATTATTATTATTACAATAATAGTACTTACTACTTATTTTATGATTGTATGATGTTATGCTAAATTAACTATTAAAAGTACGAAATAAAATGTTGTGTTTGTAAATGTCCAAAACTAAAAAGGATGAAGAGGGATGAATTTCAACTCCTAAATATTCATACTTTGCATGCGATACCTACCATTACAGGGAATCTATGGTTCAAATTTAAAGTTTATACCTCTACAAGAAGCGCACCAAAAACAAATTCCATTTTTTTCATTACATATTTTTTTAATCCCCATACATAAGACCTATTAATGTCAGTTAACATTACCTTAGACGCCTAATAAAGAATCCAAATTTATGCTATTGTAAAAAAAGTTGCTATGAAGAAAAAAATTTAAAGTAATTAATTAATTACAATTATAATAATAAATAATTACAATAATAATACTGATTTTGGTGATTTTATGAACTATGTTTGCAAACAAGTTTTTTTTTTTTTTTTTGAGCATGTCATTAGCTGATTACCAATTTATGTATATAAAAGATAGTTATAAGAAAAAAATATTTGGTTCTTGTAAATTAAACCCATGCCAATTATTTCAATTAAAAATATTAATGCATATTTTACTAAAGTTTAGAGGACTATAGTTAAGAAACGAGCTAACCAAAATGAATGATTTGAGTACCTATCAACATTTTCAGTAAAAAAAGCTTTACCAGAAATCAGAATCGATTAAAAAATATAGTGATTACCATTTGAAAAATAAAGTTGATTTTGCTATTGGTTTTAAAAATATTGAAATTGTTATAAAAAAATTGCATGTTAAAAATAAAGAAACAGGTCTTTTAGGTTTTTTCGAAATTCCTTATCGTCGATCTACAATCGTTAAAATAACACCGTGTGGACTTCAGATACACCCTTCGAGTATCTGCAAGCAATATAATAATATTCCACTACGACAAATCAGAACTGTGGTGCCTTAGTCTAGAATTATTACCGGATGTCCCTATTTGAAGTTGAGAATATTGTCGAGATAACGTCATAGGTATCATTTTTAATTACTATTGTCCTACGGGCTACGATGAAGGTATAACGTTTGATCGTTTAACGTTTTCTTATAGGTACCTACCATCGTAATTTGTTCGTTAAATAAATGTGGCCATATATTTTTATATGGCATGACAGGATCGATAACCTTTTCAAAACCTGTGAAAGGGCTAAGGTATTGGTAGGAGGTGGAAGGGTGGGGTTAGGTACCTACTAGTGAGGAGAACTAGAGTACTTACTTAAAATACAATTAAACCATATTAGTATAATTATATAGATATTTATATTAATTGTACCCCGCCTTTAGGTCTTGAAATTAATAACTATTTACTATTAACTAAATGTATCCCTTATAAAATGTATATCATTATCCAGACCCTTATGGCATTATGTAGGTGTCTAAAAAATTAAAATAAAATATAATCCAGCATGCTAATGAAAAAAATCACAATATTTAACTTATTTTCATTTGTATTTTGTACTGGTTTGTACAAATGTCAAATACACTGGTATCACGTCCTCAGGACAATTCTTATCAATCATATAATATCATAAATGACGATTTATTGATAGTTATTTCTATATAGTCATATTATGAAAACCACGGTTTAAGATAGAATTAGATTAGAATAAGATTCTATCTTAAACCGTGATGAAAACCTTAAGAGGACGCTATACCCGCATGCGTTGTCTCCGTCTTACAAATGCACAACATAGCAAAAAACTGTTTTGCGCGGGAAAGAACCGAGAAGGCTACAATCATAACTAAGAAACGATATTTTCACCACATAAAAAGAAGAACTTTGGCTGTGCAACGTTGTTTTTATTTTTTTGATATCATTTATACGAAAAAAGTTTTTCAAGTTTGAAAAACACAAACAATAACGGTTTTTTAAACAGTAAGAACTTTTTTCATATAATTGATATCAAAAAAATAAAAACAACGTTGCACAGCCATAGTTCTCCTTTTTATGTGGTGAAAATTTCGTTTCTTAGTTATGACTGTAGCCTTCTCGGTTCTTTCCCGCGCAAAATAGTTTTTGATATGTTGTACATTTGTAAGACGGAGACAACACATGCGGGTATAGCGTCCTCTTAATAATATAATATAATAATGTATATATGTAGTCTGTCTCACTAGTCAGAGAACGGGACCGGCGGCCGAAAAAACTCGTTCGTCGCCGCTCCTACCCCACCATCTTTTCGTTGTAAGCGTGATCACGTGATTATCCACTCACCAATCGAATCAGTCTACGTGCGAGAAACGGTCAATTTCTTTCGTGAGACAGACTACCCATATATTGTGTTTGTTTGCAATGTTTGCATACAATATTTTTCGAGCCGGAGTTCATTTTTATAAATAATATAAATGTAATTAGATATTTCTAAATATAAAACCAATACCCGTTTATTTGTCGACCGTCGTTTCTTAAATAAACAACAAGTTTATTTTTAATATAATTGAAATACCGATTTCCGGCACCCGGGACGGCTGACGGACGACGGACAATCCGGCAACGGCGGCAACTGACTTCGGCCAATGGGACATTCCTCTCAGAGTCTTCAACTGCACATGTTCGACCTCGCACACTTGCACTCATTATAATATTATAGTTAAATGCCTACATTGTTGCAACAGTGAACGCCGAACAGAATAGCACATTGTTCCTTGTCCAGACTTTGGTACTAAGCACGTGAGTATTAATTGTAACTTATTTATTTATTAAATCTTCTATCAATCACTGCCCATACATTTATTTGTTTAAGTACCTATGTTTTAATTAATGTAAACCTTAGACCTTTCATAATTTCAATTTATATAATATGAAGGGTTACGGGGAAAACGATAATAGTCAATATCCCTAAAATGTTTAGTATTGCAGTTTTAAAGTGGGACTCTGGCGTTTTTTTCCCGTTATGGTAATATTTATACCTGTGTTATATCATTGGCAGTGATATTTTTTCCATAATTCGATTCACGTGTCGATTCGTTA